ACATGGTTTTGTTTACGCGGCGCGATGCAACGCAACGCGTGAAAAGACAGTATAAGTCATTATAATCCGTATTTATGTCCCCACTGGATGCAACAAATGCCTCGTTTGTAATGGGTTTTAATGTTTTTGAATCATCGCTTCGGCCGGGACACGGCATCAACAGTATGTGAGGGGCGTAACATTTCCGTCTCACGCTTGAGGTATTTGGCCAATCACAACGCACTGGATAGCTGGCTAATCAGAGCACACCTCGCTTTTCAGACCGATTAGTTTTGTAAAAATCGACGCGTTTCAAAAAGGCGGGGCATAGAGGAGTGTACAGTATGTACAGTATGTGGAAAATAATGTGTTTTTTGAACTTTAAACCGCATAAACACATTTCATTACACCAAATACACAAAATAATGTTCTTTTTAGCAGCATCATATGACCCCTTTAAATCTCAAGAACTGCAATAAAAAGCAGCATTTGAGCAATAATAATCACAACAACAACTTTCATTCCAATTCTTTCAAGACCAAATGATCTGAGCTCTGCCAGCGGCATAAATACATAACTCTTTACTAATGCTACATGCAAATATTCATCTAATGCATTTCTATTTGTATTTCTCGGAAGGAATTTTAATAGCAACATCTGAGACAAAGTTAACACTTAAATAAAGCTCCACTAACTTTTCTGAGCTACACATGAGCAACCTCAGAGCAATAACAGCCTCCTCTGGGTACAAGCGGAAGAAATTATACTCTATTAAAATGCTTTAAGCATTAAATGTGACAGAAATCAGAGTATGTGCAATATTTTTCTGTACAGCCTTAAGAGGGAGGAAGGAAACACAGTAACATTGCCATGTATGTGTTCAGGGTGCTGGGAACAGATGTGTGAGCATGCAGGTAGGGCAGAGTGGAAAGAAAGAGTTACTGAAGGATAAAAACACCACTGTAGAGGGCTGTGCATGGGACACACACACTCATACACACTGGAGGGCAGTGGGATGGATGCAGAGTTCTTTACCTTCCACTGCATTTGAGTGGTAGTCTGGTTTGAAGCATGAATGGAGACAAGAACAGAACAACACATAAGCCATGAACCTGAGCCATGAGCACACACACACACTTCTACAGCGTTCATTCACACGCTCAACAGTGAGTATGAGTTACAACCACATCTTTTAATAACATCGCATATAGACAGCACAAATACATGAATCCTGTCTGAGCTGAATCTCCACTGAATCAAGATTCCCTAGCTAGAGCACATCCCTTACAGCTGAGCGTCAGTGTGTGTGTGATGTGAGAGACGGTCTCCAGAGAGCAGTGTTTGACAGACGACAACCCTTCGTCTCCCCGTTCGGAGACATACCAGCGCAGTTGACATGTTAAAGATGGAAAATCATGTGCATCTTGCAAAACAGACAATCTGTAGGTCACTGTAGATCCAGCTACAGTCCTGTTCATAACTTACAGATCTAGTTCTACAGGCTGTCTCAAACCATTTTCTGCTTATAGCTATGACAATGTTTCACTGTATGTAACAGATTATAAATAAGCATATTGGGTCCCCAGCCAGAATATTGTGTATTCCAATTGACACTTTATAAAGAAATTGAACAGCTGTGTATTTTTAATTTAATTATAACATTTTCACGTTTATTTGCAAATATACATATAATTTGTACAGAATATTTATTAAATGTGTTGCATGTATTTATTGATGTATATTTATTTGTATTATTAAAATATTAACATTAATAAATTTGTGCCGAGCAACAATTAATTGCGATTAATCACATCCAAAATAAAAGTTTTTGTTTATATAATATATGTGGGTGTATATATTTTGAAAATATTTACATGTATTTACATGTATATACTTATATTCATGTAATTTATATTATATATAAAAATATATTTAATAACTAAAAAACATTTTTCTTAAATATATACATGCATTTGTGTGTATTTATATATACATAATAAATATACACAGTACACACACATATATTATGCACTCAAAAACTTTTATTTTGGATGCGATTAATTGCCCAGCACTATAATAAATACACATTTAATTTAGCACATACATTTTATAAATAAAAAGTACAGCTATATAATTCATTTACAACGCATGAACACAGGGAAAATCAGAATTGTTATCATTATTTATTTTATTTTTTTTTTGACAATGCCATTTTGAGATTATCGACCGATAACTGATATTACCCTGTTTTAGTTCTTAAACAAACTGAGTTGAACTCAAATAATCCAAACAGCCTTTCAGTCAGTTCATAACAACAGATATTCCCCTTCCATTACACATGATTATATGAAAAGCGATTTTTTTTTTTTTTGCAAGAAAGTAACTTCCCGGACAGACCGATAAAGATGCTAAAGATCCAACAAATCAACTCTAACAGCATGAGAGACACATTGCAACACACACAACACACAAACCATGATCACAGAGTAAACTTGGCCTAACCCCGCCCCTTTTCCAGATGATTGACAGCTGTCAGGTGCAAAGCGATTAGCAGGGAAAGGGCACTCACCTTTGACCCTCTCTCCGCGGTTTAACTGGATCTCTCCCTCTCCCTGCGGCGTGTACGGTTTGACCACGATGAAGGTGCGCCCCGGCACGGCGCTGTAGAGTTTCCGTTTGGGGCCCCGGGCTCCTGAGAGTGTGTGCGAGGGCCCCGCGGGAGGAGGGCTCGGGTCCCGCTGGACCGTCCCCGGGCTGTAAACAAAAACATAGGTTACCGTGGTGATGCCCGGCAACTGGTAGCCAAATCCGGTGGTCACCGACATGGTCCCGCGAGAAGCGTGCGTGTGTTATTCCTGAACCGGCCAGGGCCAGCGTCAGGTGAAAGCTGCTCACTCCCTCTCGTCCTATCCCTCTTCTCCTTCTCTGCTCCTCTCTCCTCCTTTCTTCCACCTCTCCTCCCTCTGAGCGCTCCCCGCCCTCCCCCTCGCTCCCGTTAACGGCTGCCTGTCGCGAACAGCGCCGAGCGCTCGGGCTGCATTCGCCGCGAGTTGGGCATGTTCACTCCCCGTGGCTCTGGTGCACACGCTCGCACACACACACACGCTGTGACGTGGCTGTGCTGTTTCCCCGTGGCTGGGCTGGGCTCCCACCCTCAACATTCTATCCGTACGCGGACGGTCGCAGACGACAACACGCGGGCGCCAGGGGTCTGGATTGATTAGTGTGTGGGGGGGTTGAGCACGATTTACCCTATATATATATGTCACTTAAATATGTGTATATTATATTTTATATTATATACGATGTATGAGGTTTGATTTTATTAAAAACGTTTTTATTTTTTATCTTTTTCTTTATTTCACATATTTTGCGAACTGAAGCTGTAATTCATATGCATGTATAACATTTTGTATTATATGTCAAATTAAAAAATAAAAAAATATATAAAAATATATACATGACTTACACAGTAGTTAAACTGGATTGCAGGTGGTTAGTGAAAATGTAGCAGGTTTTTGTGCTAAATTTTGCCATGCAAAAACTGCTTAGCAAATAGACTCTGTTTTGATTCTCAAAAAGAAGCTGATGTCTTCCAGCATGAGCAAGGAAATTCTTAAACCGGTAACACTTTACAATAAGGTTCCATTTGTTAACTATATTTAATGCATTAACTAATAAGCAATAAGCAATACTCTCTTACGGTATTTATTAATCTGTTAACGTTAGTTACAAATACAACTGTTTATTGTTAGTCCATGTTAGCTCAGGTCCATTAAATAACATTAACAGATACAACTTTTGTTGAAATGTTGAAATCAACATTAACTAAGATTATTAAATGCTTTAGTATTTTTTATGTTAGCTACTGTAGTTAACTAATGTTAACAAATGGAACCTTATTGTAAAGTGTTACCCTTAAATCTTTGACTTTACTGTCAAAATCAGTCAGTCCGAACACACATGCATATTCACACACTCTTTCCAGCTATCTCTCTCTCCATCCATCCCTCGCTCTAAACATCGAGCTCAGAGACGGCTTTCCAATTACTGCAGCGGTACGGGGCTAGAGTGACTGCAGCATGTAAATGCAGAGTAACAAGAAAGAGAGAGGAATTTAAGGGCGGAGAGTTGATAAGAAACCGAGAGAGGAAAAAAAAAGGGCTGTAAAGCAAAGGAGGATGGAAAAGAGAAAGTATCAGAGAAGAAATGACGGACAGAGGCTGTAAGAAGTGAGAGAATGGATGAGAGACGGAGAGGTATGGAGTCCTGTCGTCACGGTTTCCTCTGACTCAGTATTGATCAGTCAGAGCCGCCACAAGCCTGTAATAAACAGCGCTGAAAATCATCGGCGGGCTCTGCAGTAATACCATATTTCACACACATCAATCATCATAAAAACAGACATACACAGCCTCTGACAAGTGTTCTTTTTATTTAGGACATTTGTAAGACGATAGATTTGAAGCAGTGCAGCCTGTAGATGACGTTAACGTCACACTCCGCTCTGTCTGATCTCAGGCCCATCTGACTCTTCCCATGCATGAGGAACTTCCATAAAGACATGTGCTTCGTTTCAAAACTCAGAATCTAGTGAGCTGCCTACCGAGACAGTTCCAACATTCGATTGTGATTCACAAGAATTTTACACAAGATTTGAATGTGAGGGTTGCGCATGTATGTGTGGGGCAGAGCTATCAAAATAGGGGCGAGACCCTTTTGGGGTAGGGGCGTGTTTGTTTTGGTGATTTCTAGGGATGCACCGATACCACTTTTTCCAGTACTCGCCCGATACCGATACTTTTATTTTTGGTACTTGCCGATACCGAGTACCGATACCAATATTTTTATTGCATTTGTAAATTTTTTTAAATATTGGGTACAGAAACCAAAAGAGTATGTATAATGTTAGTTGGTTAACTTCATTTATCAAATAGATACAGTCAAACCAAAATTTATTCAGACACCTTCAACATTTCTCACATTATCACAGTTTATTCGCTATAGTTTAGAAAATGGTAATAAAATATGACAAGAACTCAGAGTTAAACTGAGTCAGAACAAATTCAGCTTAATAATGTCAGATAACTTTGATAGAAAGGTATAGAAAGGTACCAAAAATTATTCATACAGCTGTAGACTTGTGCCGGTATTCGGTAATGCGATATATCACGGTAATGAATATGCACGATATTGTTATCGTGGGCACTTCTAATTACTGT